AAGATTTGGCCCTTGATCTAGTTGTATCTCTTGTGGGTAGTCCGTACCTAATTTTAAAAAAATTAAATAACTCTTCTACAATCCTTTTAGCCGTGATACTGCATAATGGTATGTCCTCTGGAAGTGTAGTAGACACATCCAATATGGTCAACAAATACTGATTCCCACTTTTATTTTTAGGTAGGGGTCCTATGCAATCAATTAAGACTCATGTAAATTGTTCCTCAAATGCAAGAATAGATATTAAAGATGCTGGTTTTATCACTGCCTAATGTTTTCCAATTACCTGACATGTACGACATGTCCAGTAAAATTCAATTACATCCTGATGCAGTCCAGGCGAATAAAAATGTTTTTGTATTTTGGTTTGAATTTTCCTTACTTGCAAATGACCTCCTACTGGTAATTCATGTGCTACCTGCAACATTCGCTTTCTATAACCCACCAGTAATACAACTTAATGAACTTCTACCCATTTCTCATCCACCTGAATATGTGATGGTTTCCATTTCCTCATCAAGACATTATTTTTAAGATAGTAACATTCTGGGATACATTCAGATTCTTCTTTAGTGTATGCTTTTTGATACAACTGCTTTTTAGTTTTTTATCTTTCTGTTGCAAGCTGTGAACTGTGAGCTGACAGCTAAAACTGACCATTGGACTGTGAATAGCATCATGTTTTTTTAAGAAGAGAACAAACAGACTGTTATTTGTTTATGAAGCCCGACCTGGAAGTTGAATTTTGATCAAAGAACGCTCCAGATGTTTTGGTTCCGGACATATATTATGCTCAGAAGGGTGGCAGATGTTTGAAAGTTAACAGGGAGCTCATAGGAAACCAACTGGTCTAAGAAACAGAAACCAAAATTTTAACTAGTTTCTGAACTGTGTTTAAGTCAGAAAGATTTTGGCTGTGAAAGCTACAGGATAGAAGTTTTATTGCTCCATGGTTGTCCTCCCATTATCAACTTATTGAAAGTTTGGACAATAGAATCTCAGTTATACGTATAAAGTGAACATTCCTCAGCACCTACTAGAATCTACCTGCATGCATTGCTATCTTCAGAAACCAAAGAAGACAATCCCATATGCTGATGATATTATTTATGATTTTTACAGTGAATACACAGTAAAATACAGTGAAAAGCTTTAACAGTCACCACAATCCAGTGCCATTTTGAATACTCTATGAAGAAACAGGATAAAGATATAACTGACAAAGAATAGCTTAAGAATAAAAAAGACAAAAGATATAACTGAAAGAGAGTCCTGAGCTGACTCACCGTAGACACCAACACCATCACTCCTCCTCCACTGCCTCTGCCAGACCTATCAATGTAGGAGTCACCACTGTTTAGGTGCCATCTCTTCACCGCTAGACCCATCTCATTAATGCCAGGTCCTGTGCTGAACCCACACTCACCCTGCAGCCAGGAATTCCTGGCTCCGTTGCCGCCTCGATGACACCACGGCTCTGGGCATACCACACTGCCGCCACTGCAGCTGCCACCTTGCCAATGCCAGGAGTTCCCACTCTGGGCCTACTGCAACCAGGAGTCGCTGGTTCCACTGCCAGACCACGCCGTTGTTGCTGCCTTGCCAGCAGTCCTCTCCTCCTAGATGTTGCTTTGCTGATGCTGTCATCTTGAAAAGTCTGCGGCAGCCACCTCTAATTGCTGGAGGAGCTTTGCCACCATTGCCATCATTGGCCCTGAACACTGGGATGACGTCCCTACTGCCACCACCTCCAGCTGTTGTGAGGAGCTGCCTCCACCGCCGCCTCTGACTGCTGGGAGGAGCCGCCATTCCACGCACTGCTCAAACTGCCACACCAATGTCGCTGACTAACCCACTGCAAAAGGCTCCAAAAATACAAAAACGGAAGAAAAGAAATGAAGGAAAAAGAGCAGCACTAAAAAGAAAAAATAGAAAGAAAATAAGCAGATGGGAACAGATGAGCCCTGGGCAAGAGCACGTATTGTGAAATCTGCTTAAGTGAATTGCCCTCTTACATCCCATTTTTTTGATTTATCGTTGAATTGTGTCTGTCTGCCTGCCTTTATGAGTGTGGGAGGGTTAAAATTAAATAAGATTGGGTGTAAATCACAGAGATTAACTTGTTTAACTTTGTTCTGCTAAGGCTACTGAATCATAAATGAAAGATTTAACAATTTATTAAAGCTATAAACCTGGTGTCCAGTAATGGTTATTCAAAAAGTCTGGTTATGAACCATTGGGTTCATTGAATGTTGTAATTTTGCTGTGTTGCAAATACAGGGATAGGGAGACTGATTTGATTTGGCTGTCTGTGTTTGTGTTGTAGCACTTTCCATCAATGTGTCACTTTCTTTGTCACTTTCTATTTCAGACAGTAATGATCTGCCTCATGGCAGGTCCTCTGGTCATTTCTCTAAGGTCTTGCACTTTCTTTTTCCTTTTCAAATTAAAAAAATGCCAGCAAGAGTTCACCATTTACTTCAACTTTATTTGACTGTATTTCCATTCTTATTATCAGCACACAAATTTGAGTGATAAGAAATCAAAAAGTTAGTCATCACCTCCGTGTATAATAAGCCAAGGTTTTTAATTGAAAAGAGGAATCACTTACATTTATAATTGTACCTTGTCACATCTTCAGGATATTTGGAAGCAATTTACAACCAAACGATTATGTTTAAATTGGAGTCATTTATTATTCAGGCAAAGGCAACTAAAATGTGCACAAGATCCTAAAAGCAGAAATGAGTAAACAGCCAAATGCTCTATTTTTGACGGTATGGCTTGAAGAAAAAATGTTGACCAGGGTACTTGGAGAACCTTTCAACTTCTTTATATACTATATTATTTCTAAATCTACTGAACAGGTTGACAGTGCTTTGATTTAACCATTTTAGGTGAAAGATAGAAACTCTGATGGTGCAGCATTTAATAGTTAATTATTAAAATGCTAGGCAAACGGATAATTTTATTTGAAGACTGTAGCACATCCAATATTTAGGTATGGTAGTTAGGCCTGTGCATGCCAGCTGCTATACATTTGAGGTCCTTATCTTGACATGGAAGATCTGCGGGAGCCATAAAACAGACTGTGGCGGAGGCAGTGAACCATTTTCTTCGAATGCTGCATTCCGTGTGGTGCAGGCTCTCAATAAAGCTATTACAGAGGGCCTTTCAGGATTTTGATCCAATATGTCTGGTTTTATTGTTGGAGTTGTACTGTGAGAGCTAATGCACAATGAACTAGATGATGGACTAAACAGAATTTACCCCCTTATTTGGTCCTTTTAGTCATCACATCTGCAATGGTTGACGATTACTTAGTCTATCAAATACCAATGCTTGGAATACTGATATAACTAGATCATTCCATATATCTGAAGACAGGTTTTGCAATAATACTAAAATTAGCATTCAAATTATTTAAAGAATGGCCCAATATTATTTATTTGGCTATATTTAGTGTAGGAGTGGGGGCAAGTGCCCAGGTATAGTTGGATAAATGATTAATGTAATATAGGGAAAATATTACGAGCCCTTGAGATCTTGATTTACCAGCAATGCATACTGGGAACACTGGCAATAATGATTATAAATTATGAAACCATGTGCTTGAAATACAGATATTCCCTGCTAATTCATGATGATCCCTGCTAGTAGAGTGAATTTATCAAATTAGCTCTTATGTATTTTATCAATGGATTATTTATCTTTAGTCATTAATTGTATACCTTTATATATGGATTGTGTAATTGTCTATATTTTAGGTCTGCGATTCTGATACAAAGCTTGACTCACATGCAACTATGGAACTTGTTAAAGTCTTAGATTCAAAGGAAAACTATGGAGCAGTTGGAGGGGAAGTGCGAGTACTCAATGTCACCGACTCATTCGTTAGCTTCATTAGCAGCCTGTGCTACTGGATCACGTTCAATATAGAACGAGCCTGCCAGTCGTACTTTGACTGTGTGTCCTGTATCAGTGGACCTTTAGGTAAGGCATGTCAACAAATCAGGTTCTTTTAGAGGATGCCATTCAAGATAGTTTTAAAAAGTATTCTCTTTTACATCTCCCCAGTGCTAGAGAGAAGGCCCAAGTCGTAGCCTTTACCGTTTAGACACCTCGGGCAAAGAACAATTATCCAGGCAGTGCTAAGGTTAAATAAGAGTCAAAGAGAAGAGTGATCACATAGCAATAACATCAAGTTTGCGTTTTAAAAGTCAGCCATTTGCAGTATAGAAAAAAGACAAGGGAAGTGATGCATTTGACAGTTTTAAATGTGACAATGCTGTCACTTTAAGAAGTTATTTTGTCCTTTTTTTTGAAGGGAGGTTGAAAGGCAGCGGTGCTGAGCTGGCTAATTAAGACCACTTGAGTGAATAGTTTGAAGGCCTTGGGTTTGTTTTAAACAGCCTGAATGGGTGTGGCCAGCTCTCACAGCTTAAGATTTCTGGGTTTTGGGTTTTTGGTAGCATCAGAAGCTATTGGGGTCTCAACAGAATTTAAACTTCAGTGAATATCTCCAGGTTACTACTCTCTATAAATTTTTTCTTGGTGCTTTTTTTACTCCTAGATTGGAGAACTGCATGTGGGAATCTGTGTCTGCATTTTCCATTTTTGCTGAATGGTGTGTTTATGAGATGTTACTATATTGGAGCAGCCAATTAGTAATAGTTACTGTATCTATTATTCTGTTAAGTTTCCAATAGAGTTAATTTATTCTAAATTCCTCTTTCTTTGGTTGTATTTTAAGTATAGTGTATAAAGAAAATGTGTTTTGCTTAACGTTGAGTAGTTTGACCAGTCGCATTGCGTCTGGCACAGACACTTTACATTTGCCTTCAAAATAAGAAAAAGGTAGAGTCTAGACTACCTTCTTAAAATGTCTTGAGGGGGTCTGGTCTGGTCCATAACATAAATGATGGAAAGGTCGGTATGATAAGTCTTAATTTCAACACCATGAGAATACAGGGAGAAGGAAGCATATCAAAGTTTAGGAAGAAAAGCAAGAGAGAAGTGTTCAGATGGGGAACTAATTCCTAAGGTATTGGTAAACTATAAAAAGGCAGTTGTTTAGCCTTGCTACACAGTCTGACTTTCTGAATAGCTCAGCAGAATTACCTTCTTACTTCTAATTTCCTTAATTTAACTCTATCCTGGTTTGAGAACTATTCATTAATACATGCTGAAATGTGTGACCAGATTAAGTCTGTTATCTGTTTTCAATTCTAACAATGACTTTCTGTTTTAGGGATGTACAGGAATAATGTGCTTCAGCAATTATTAGAGCCCTGGTATAATCAGAGATTTTTGGGAATCCGGTGTACTTTTGGGGATGATCGTCACCTGACGAATAGGGTGCTCAGTCTGGGTTACTCTACCAAGTAAGATGTGAATCTATTTTCTGATCAGTTTTTCAATTTAAGAATTATGTTGTAACCAAGGCCTGTTATTTCCACAAGTAAGAATTTTTTGGACAATATTTTAAAAAATATATATGCTTTACATTTTTTAATAGTTCAATTTCCCTAATTTTCTTTCCTTCTATCTGGAAGGCATCGCATCTCGCTGTGATACAGTTCAATTGGAGTCCCCACCCAGAGTTACTTCTATTGCTTTCTTACCCTTAGGATATACTCATGGATGGTGATGGAAAAGTCAGGGAGATTGAATGATTTTCTGAGTGTGGAAAGCCATTTTTCAAGTAGTCCGAGGAACAGCTTTCCCAATTTTGGTGCAAGTCTGTAGGTGTTACTAAAAAGGGCATTGCAGAGTCAGTTTGGCGGGATATGTCTTTGTCATGTCCAGTGCCTAGCTCAATTCTGGGTGATTTATCCATTTATATTCTTATTTTGCCCTGTGACAGCTTAATACAACTACCTATAAGTGCCTGAGCTCCTTCTTCCAACCCCCACACAATAGGCCTCATAAATGTGTTACTGTAAAATTGAAGCCAAATACAGAAATAAACGAAGTTAGTTAATGAAAACTCATACTTGTTTCTAACAGGTATACACCCAAAGCTTGGTGCTACACAGAAACTCCAGCTCAATACCTGCGCTGGCTCAACCAACAAATACGATGGTCCAAGTCTTTCTTCATAGAGTGGTTCTACAGTTCTCTCTGGTGGCATAAGCAAAGTCTGTGGATGACATATGAGTCTGTAGTTATGGGAATGTTGCCATTCTTCATGATTGTGGCCATTGTCAAGGTATTCTATCACAGGTGTCTCTGGGATATTCTCTGGGTGCTCCTTTCCTTTCATTGCATTGCACTGGTCAAAGCATTTAATGCTGCATGCCTGAATGGCGGTCTGGTGATGATGTTAATATCTCTGTATCCTATCATCTACCTGTGTGGGCTGCTGCCAATTAAATGCTTTTCACTTCTTACCATTACCAATACCAGCTGGGGAACTTCTGGACGCAAAGAGAAAGTCAAAAACTACATCCCATTGCTTCCACTTTTGGTTTGGGGGATCATCCTCCTTGTGGGTTTAATCGAGACTGTATTCACGGAGACTGAAAGATCTTGGGTCCATGCTGAACAGCCATTATATAAACACTACGCTCTCTATGGATCACTGGCCTTGTTTACATACTGGGCGTGTATGGTTGCAATTTACCATATATGGTCATGGCACCGGTGCAGAAGAAATACTGCAATGTACCGTGTTGAAGTGTAGATAGATTTTGTGTAAGTCACTTCATGGAAAATTTGAGGAATAGCTAGCACTTTGAAGCATACTTTCTACAACATAAATTTAGAGATTCTGCTTTTTGCTCCTTACATAATTTGTCTCTGCAGTCTGTCCTGAACAGTGCAACTCTTGTAGTCAGAAGAACAGCAATAATACTATCTTCCACCTGTCTGTCAATTTCATTCTGTCAGCCAGTAGCACAACAACATTATATTTTTGCTAGTCCTTCATTAGATTAGTGGGTAAAAGCTCAGCTTATGATGATGATGATGATGATGATGATGATGATGATTCAAACAGGCTGGGAAGGTGTTACTTCAGAATGAAAACACAGGGTACCATAACTATCCTTAGTGGCTTTATACTAACAGCATAAGATCATGTGTAGTCCAATTAAACTTACTGAAATGTAACTGCTGAGAACAGGAATTGATTGTAATGCACACAATGACCAATATAACCTGCTAACCTCATCGTTTGGCATCACATCGGAAGAACACTTCTCATCAATCCATACTCCAAGTTAACCAACACATATAGGAGAGGAGGAACGATTTTCTTTAAAACAAAACTATTCATTTCTAATTGTCACAGAGTGTAAATGTGCCTTTGGGCAGTGTTATTTTGTGAAAGGTATGTGTGTACAATGTTTTAGACATATGATATAATACTGTACATTATCCTTCAAGAAAGGAAGGGCTAGTATAAACAATAATTAAATAAAAACACGTTTAACATCAAGCGTATCTAAACTTCAGTTTGAATCACGCGCCCCGATATTTTTGTGAATCAACCTCCATAAAGCCCAAACAGTTTGTGTTTGTTTTTTATTTGATGATTTGCCCTGTTTTAAATTTTGTGAATTTGTAAAACAATTTTTTCTTGCTATTATCTCATGTTGTACAAATTCTAAATCACTACACAAATATCTAATGTTATCAGCAAATTATTTAATATGGATTTTAACTTTATGTATGGTTGCAGAGGATTCATGGTGGACACCTTTATGGTCCATGAAGGCACTGCAATACACCATGAGAATCAATCACTATGCTTGGTCTTACAGAGAAGTTTTAAAATTAGAATTTTTCATATTGGCATTGCCAATGAGACACCAAAATTAGGCAGATGTTGAACGTTATCCACTTGATGCAGGTTATAGTTGCAATTTAAACTTGTTTTCATATTGTTTTTGTATAATGTTTACCAAGACTCCTGTCATGTGCTCTTCAAATTGGGTAAACCTTCTATTCATTAGTACACAGGAGACAATACCAGTAATGATAGTGAAAGGGGAATCAGCATTTATTGGCTCAAGAATAGCAAAGTGACTTCTCTTCCATTTTAACTGTACCTGCATTTGACTTTACACCTCAGTTCACATTTGAAAATAAATCTTAGACAAATATATAAATTAAATACATTGGCTCCGAAAATACTGCTTATTCCCTGCACAAACTGAACACACCACTAGAAAAGAGACACTTTATAACTAAGAATTAGTAATTAAGGGAAAACAGAAGTAATCAAGGTGGTTATGCAAAAAACAGATGGTTGCAGTTCCCCTTTTCCTCCACACGATAGCATTAACATCCTCTGTAATGTGAAATAGAATTTACTTATGCCACACTGTGGCAACACCTTGGTATGACACGAATATCAATTCTATAGCCCTAATGAAAAATGTATTCCTACTCATTGCTATATCTGTCATCAGTGGTAACTATGGGAAAAGTGTTAGCACAGACCTTGTAGCAGCTTTGTTAGAAAACAGTCTGCCTTTAAAAATGTTTGTGGAGTCAAGCTCAATCAATCAAGATTCAGGTGCAATATGTTGATGAGGAAGATTTTTGGAAGTCTCAACCTCCAGGCCTGAAGGCAACAAGCCTGGAGGTGGGCAATAAATTTAATTAAGTGGGACGGTGGAGGGCCAGAAGCTTGCTGCCTTCCAGACCTTGCCCTAATTAAGCACCAATTGAGGCCCTAAGTTGTCAATTAATGCCTACTCAAGAGCCTCATCCCACCTGGAGTGCAATTACTTTACTTACAGGCAGAAAAAGGAGTGGTCAGCCTACTAGACAGGTTAATCAGTGCAGGAAGGTTATCATTTTGGTGGGAGTGGGAATCTCTCGATCCGCACTAATTTGTTTAAGACCAATAATTGGACTTGGTTTTGGGAGCTGAAGGTTTTCTGAGAGCTGCCCCTTGCTTTTGCTTCTAACATCCCTGGGCCTTGCTCCCCATGATCCTAACACCCTGCATCAATACTTATCTTTCCTGTTGTTAATGCTCCATCCTAGGGGTTCAGTGTTCAGCTGTGGCACTGCCAAGTTCTGGAGCTGCCAGTCTCTATTTGGCCAGTAGCTTCAGGTTGGTCTGATGTCCTGGTCTGGGGTCTTACTTCTGGTAGAAACTGATAAGCTGCCTGATTCTCAGAGAATCTTACAGATTTCCTCATCTTAGGGTTTCAACTCTCCCCAACAGGAAAACCCTGGCCTATGTTCACATAGGTAGCATGGCCAATTCCTTATTCTGCGATTCCCTGCAAGAGATACATCATCCCAAAATATAAACCGTCAAGCCCTTTTAATTCTAGGTGATATAGGTTCAATCTACCCAACCTCTGCCTTAAAAAAAGAACTCCTCATTCCAGGAACCTGTTTTCTCAACCTCCATCAAGGCTAGTATCTCCACCTCTAGTTATGGTAACCAATTCGGTACTCAGTGTACTCCAGATATGGTCTTACCAAGGCTCTAAGTAATTATAGCAATACTTTACTCCTGTATTCAAATTTTATAATAAAGACGAACAAAATATTAGCCTTCCTAATTGCTGTATGTGTCTTAATTTACAAGGACATCTATGTCCCTTTGTGTACAAACATTTCCCAATCATCTGTCATTTTCAAATATATTTTGCTTTTCTATTTTTGCAACCAAGATTGAAAATAATGCAGAGAAATGCAAAATTATCTAAGTTCTTGCCCACTCGTTTAACCTACATCTTTATCCCCCGCAGCCTATTTGCATCCAAACTTTCCCCAAACTTGGTTATATAATAAACTTGACAATTTACATTTGGTTCCCTTATGTAAGTTATTAATGTAGATTGTAAATAGTTGAGGTCCCAATTCTGATTACTGTTATAGCATATCAATTCACAAAAGAACCCATGTTTTCTTACTTTGTATTATGTGCAATCTTATTGGTTCGATTCTGTGTAAATACCCCTCGGATGACATCTTTCAAATACATTTTGAAGATTCAAAAACATGATAATCATTGTTTTCCCCAATATCTACCTTGCTAATCACAATCCCTAAAACATTTTTAACAGATGTAAACCTTTCATAGCTCTGCCTTGACTCTCATGGAGTCCTAGAGGTATACAGCAGAGAAGCAGGCCCTTTTGCCCAATATGTCCAAGCCAACCAGGTTTCCTAAATTGAACTAGTCCCATTTGCCTGCATTTGGCCCACATTCCTTGAAACCTTTCCTATCCACGTGCCTGTCCAAATGTCTTTTAAATGTTGTAATTGTACCCGCCTCTGCCACTTCTTCTGGCAGTTTGTTCCATATACGCACCACCCAGTGTGAAAAAGTTGCCCCTCAGGTTCCTTTTAAATCTTTCCCCTCTCACGTTAAACCTATGCCCTGTAGTTTTGGACTCCCCTACCCTTGGGAAAAGACCTTTGCTATTCACATTATCTATGTCCCTCATGATTTTATAAATCTCTGTAAGATTACTCCTCAATCTCCTATGCTCCAGGGAAAAATGTCCTAGCCACTCGAGCCTCTCCTTATAATTCAAAGCTTTCAGTCTCAGTAACATCCTTTAAAATTTTTTTGCATCTTAATCAGTTTAATAACATCCTTCCTATAGTACAGCGATCAGCCTTACCAATGTCTTGTACAGCTGTAACATGATGTTCCTGTGTGTTTATGTTGTGATATTCTAAATTTCCTCTCACCACATCCCTAATAACACATCCTAGTATTATCATGCTACCTTTACATTTGCATATGTGGTACCCTATGTTCAATTGTACCATTTTGTGTCAACTTTTCCATTTCAAATTTCTGCATCCACGTGTGGATGTAATGAACCTGCTTAGGCAAAGTTATCACGTTGTATTGCAGTCTCCTGTCAGTGGTAGTGCAATTTTAACTTGCATCTCCTTATCCTGTACACCAGAAAAATGCCAAACTCCAATCAGCTCTATTTCTATGTTTCAAAAAATGCCACAAGCTATGAAATATAAATGATAATATCAAAGAATTGTTGGAAATAAACAAAAAAAGTTGTTTAGAAAGGAACATTAAGTTAATTCTCTGGGTTTATATCCATTCATCTCTCCCTTGCCCCACTTCATTTGAAAACACTTGTCTTTGCCGATCTTAATTTCATGCTGAAAGTAAGGTCTGGGGTATAGCCTGCAAATGGAATGCTGCTTTTGGTTTTCCATAAACTGCTGCCTAAGATTTACATTTCCCCTGTTTTCCTCTATGTTGTTGGTGTTGCAGCTGAAGTTCACTTAGGATAGCTTTAACCATACATGGGCTGAGCAAAGCTGGGATGAACAGAGATCATTATCACAAGTTTGGTTTAAATGATGAAGGTACTTAAGGCTTTTTAGTCTCCTATGTCTAGAATGCCATCTTTACTATCTCCTGATTATCTACATGTGTCCAAGCTTTAGAGGTGATATTAAGAATTGATCTTTTAATATTGGAGAAGAGTTATACGTAGGATGAAAGACACCTTTTATGAGGACTGTAGCAAGCCAGTTGGGCTTCAATTGATAAATCATCAGCCATCAAGGCTTTTCCCAAGGTGGCTTCTCACACATTAATAAATTTATTGTATTAATTTTCAATTTTCTAGCAGAATTTCAACTCCAGACAGAAGTCCTGCTGGAAAAATTGACACAATTGGTACGAGCAAAAATTAGGGCACTGCAGTTAGTAACTACTGGATGTGCAAATGTAAGTTTGAAATAAATTCATCATCAGATAGCACGATAATGCTAGAAATTGTCATTAAGGATGTGATAAAAAGGCACATTCATTCAATTTTTTTTGTGAAATGTGAGTGTTGCTGGCTAGCCAGCATTTATTGCCCATCCCTAGTTGCCCTTGAGAAGGTGACGGTGAGCTGCCTTCTTGAACTCTGCAGACCATCTGCTCTGGATTAATCCACAATGCCATTAGGGAAGGAATTCCAGGATTTTGACTCACTGACAGTGAAGGTACAGCAATATATTTCCA